AAGAATACTGACTATACCGTGGACTGCCAGAAGAACGAACAAATCTGTCTTGGAAGAAGTACAGCCAGAATGCTCCTTAGAAGCAAGGATGGCGACACTTCGTCTCACGTACGTTGGACGTGTTATCAGGAAGGACCAGTCCCTGGAGAAGGACATCATGCTTGGTGAAGTAGCGGGTCAGTGAAAAAGAGAAAGACCCTCAACGAGATGGATTGACACAGTGGCTGCAAAAATGGGCTCAAACGTAGCAGCAAGTGAGGATGGTGCAGGACCGGCTTGTGTTTCATTCTGTTGTACGTAGGGTGGTAATGAGTCAGAATTGACACAACACCTTACAACACCACCACCAAACTTCCCACTACCACCAGTTGCCATGGAGTTGATTCTGACTCATGGCCACCGCATGTGTGCCAGAGTAGGACTGGAAGTAGATTGCCAGGCCTTTCTTCTGAGGCGCCTCCGGGTGGACTCCAACTTCTAACCTTCTGATTAGCAGCCAAGCACGTTAACTGATTGCATTAGCTGTTTGCACTACCCAGAGACTCCTTGCCAAATTTAGGTGCTGCAGAATGTGGCCCTTCTCCGTGTCCTTACGGTGTGATTCAGAGTGTAAATGTATCCACTAAACAATGGGAATTCCATCAAAAGAAGTATTTCTTACAGATGTAGGTATTTCAGAGTGCAGTTACAGAATTGCAAAAAATCATTCTCATCTGCACTGTTAATTTGTTCACTTCTGTTTTGCTTCCCTAGAGACACATTTCGGCATCTTCCTGTATGCAACTTTGCAATCCGTGTAATTTGCTAAAAAGCTCAAAGGCTGAGGGTTTTTGTCTTTTTTGACTCTTCACTTGCTGAATATTTTGATGCAAGGTTTTCAACTAAATTTGAATAAAATGCACCGAAGTTCAGAGGACTTGTTTATAGAGACCACTGTCATTATAGGACACTTAAGTTGGTCTGAAAGGCTCAAACATTTCTGAAATCCCAGTTGATGAAGGGTGCTGAGAAAAACACGTTACTGTCGTGCTGAAGCATTTTTCTGTGTCCGACATCAGCTTCGTTGCAAAAATTGTCTGATTCAGTACTCTAATTATACATATGAAGAAGTATTTGTAAATTTTGGACATCTATGATTTCTAATTTAAACACTGTTCAGATAAAATTATTAACTATGTTTGTATCACGACCAGTTCTAAGCGCGTTTCTGCTCCATGGGCTTCTTAATTTAGTAAGGATATTAGTCCCGCATGCTGTGCCCATGACGCTTTGTAGAAGCATTGTTGTTGGTTGCCGTGGAGTTGATTCCGACTCATGGCGACCCTCTGTGTTACAGAGTAGAACTGCACATAGGGTTTTCATGACTGTTACAAACTGTGAAGCAGATTGCCAGATCTTTTCTTCCGAGGTATCACTGGGTGGGTTCGAATCGCCAGCCTTTAGATTAGCAGTTGATTGCAAACAGTTTGTGCCACCTAGGGACCTTTCATATGCATATTAACAACAAAAAAAAACAAAAAAACGCTGTTGCTGATTCCAACTCATAGCGACCCTATAGGGCAGGATAGAACTGTCCCGTTGGGTTTCCAAGGAGCGGCTGGTGGATTCGAACTTCTGACCTTTTAGTTAGCAGCCAGGCTTTTTAACCACTATGCCGCCAGGGCTCCAATATGCATATTAGCATCACAAAAATAAATGAATAAGTAAATTGTTGTTGAGTCCATTCAGACAGTTAGCTACTCTATAGGACAGTGTAGAACCATCCCATAGGGTTTCCTAGGCTGTAGTCTTTATGGCAGAGCCCTGGTGGCATAATGGTTAAGCACTTGGCTGCTAACTGAAAGGTTGGTGGTTCAAACCCACCAGCTGCCCTGCAGGAGAAAGATGTGGCAGTCCGCTTCCATAAAGATTACAGCTGTGGAAACCCTTTGGGACAGTTCTGCTCTGTCCTGTAGGGTTGCTATGAGTTGGAATCAACTTGACAGCAGTGGGGTTTTTTTGGTTTGTAGTCTTTATGGGAGCAGATGGGCAAGTCTTTCCTCCTGTGGAGATGCTGGTGGGTTTGAACTTCCAAACCTCCGAACCCCTGACCTTTTGGTTAGCAGTGGAGCTCTGTAACATTGGCACCACCAGGGCGCCTTTAAATAAATAAATAACTGCCTTCAGGGTTAAATTTTTTAACTGAGTTTAACTGAATGGCACTCACAGTCATGTCCGAAGGTAAAAGCTGACAAATATTTTGTGGAGTTTTCAGTTTCACAATCTGCTTTGAGAAAGAGAAATTCAGAACTTAATTTTTAATTCAATTGGACCTAAAAAAAAAAATTATTGCTCCTGAAAGGGTTTATTGCATAACAAAAACAAACCAAATAAACAAAACCCCAAAAAACAAACAATATGTAAATAAAAACCTGTGGCTTTATACCATAGAATAAACAACAACAAAAAATCCCATTGCCATCGAGTCGATTCCAACTCATAACGACTGTCATAGATTGAATTCTGTCCCCGCAAAAATGTGTGTATCGAGTTGACTGGGCCATGACTCCTGGTATTGTGTGGTTTTCCTATATGTTGTAAATCCTGCCTCTATGATGTTAATGAGGAAGGATGGGCGGCAGTTGTGTTAGTGAGGCAGGACTCAATCTACAAGATTGGATTGTGTCCTGAGGCAATCTCTTGAGATATAAGACAGAAATGAGCAGAGAGACGGGGGACCTCATACCATCAAGAAAGCAGTGCCGGGAGCAGAGCGCGTCCTTTGGACGGGGGTCCCTGCGCAGACAAGCTCCTAGTCCAGGGGAACACCGAAGAGAAGAAGGCCGACAGAGAGAAAAAGCCTTCCCCTGGAGCTGACGCCCTGAATTTGGACTTTTAGCCTACTTTGACTGTGAGGAAATAAACTTCTCTTCATTAAAACCATCCACTTGTGGTGTTTCTGTTATGGCAGCACTGGATGCCTAAGACAACGACCCTGTAGGACAGAGTAGAACTGCCCCATAGAGTTTCCAAGGAGCACCTGGTGGATTTGAACCGCTGAGCTTTTGGTTAGCAGCTGTAGCTCTTAACCACTATGCCACCAGGGTTTCCACCATGCATACAATAGGGGACAAAATTACTGTAGCCAGAATGTTCAGACTTGTCTATGCTCTAGAGCAGGACCGACCGCTCAGGCTCGATTTCCCACACGTGTTTCATAGCCACCTAACCTCTGATTTCCCACATTTCCCTGGGGCTTCCTGCATCTTGTAGGCCACAGCATAGGCCCAACTCAGGTGGTAGGCAGGGGCAGCAGGACCTCACTGTGAATTATTCCGTTTATATCAAAATTATATTGTAATTAGGTAAGAATTATTATCTACTTCACAGACCTGATTATCACGATTAACAACTATATCAAGTCTTGTAACAATATAAAGGCATGATTATTTTAGCTGAAAACCTGTCATCTTTCACACCTCTGACTCCTTCACTCTCTGTATCAGTCTGGAGTTAATCTGCTCTAAGGGACTGAAAATCTAACTGAAACTGGATTAAAGAAAAAGGGTATGTATTGGTTCACATAAGGAGCCCTGCTGGCAAAGTGGTTAAGCCCTTGGCTGCTAACCAAAAGGTCAGTTTGCAAACCCACCAGCTGCTCCATGGGAGAAAGATGTGGCAATCTGCTTCCATAAAGATTTACAGCCTTGGAAACCCTATGGCCAGTTCTACTCTGTCCTATAGGGTCACTACGAGTCAGAATTCAACTTGACAGCAATGGGATTGGTTCACATAACAGACGAGTTCAGTGGGCTTCAGGTCCAGTTTGATCCAGGCGCTCAAACAACATCACCAGGACCCAGTTTTTCTGCCTTGTCTCTTAGCTCTGCTCTTCTGTGCATTGGCTTCACTCTCCAATAGGCTGCCTTGTAGTGGTAAGACAGCTGCCCCAGCTCCTGCCTAAATCCTCCCAGGGTTAAAATCCCACTGGGGAAGGGATCCTGAGTCCCAGTGGCTCTCTCAGGCTCCAACTGGGTCGTGTGACTCTCCCTGGCCCAATCCCTGTGTCATGGATTGAATTGTGTCCCCCCAAAAATGTATATATCAGCTTGGCTAGGCCATGATTCCCAGTGTTACGTGGTTGTCCTCCATTTTGTGATTGTAATTTTATGTTAAAGAGGATTAGGGTTGGATTGTAACACCCTTACTAAGGTCACATCCCTGATCCAGTGTAAAGGGAGTTTCTCTGGGGTGTGGCCTGCACCACCTTTTATCTTACAAGAGATGAAAGGGAAGCAAGCAGAGAGTTGGGGACCTCATACCACCCAGAAAGCAGTGCCGGAGCAGAGAAGCTCGTAGTCCAGGGGAAGATTGATGATGACAAGGACCTTCCTCCAGAGCTGACAGAGAGAAAGCCTTCCCCTGGAGCTGGTGCCCTGAATTTGGACTTGTAGCCTACTAGACTGTGAGAAAATAAATTTCTCTTTATTAAAGCCACCCACTTGTGGTATTTCTGTTAGAGCAGCACTAGATGACTAACACAGCCTGTAACCAGGAGAATGATAGGCCAGCCTGTTTTATATGCTCCTCCCCAAATACAAACCCAGTAGTATCAGATCCCTGCTTGAAACATCATCGCTGCCCAGGAATGAAAACCCAGTCCTTCATGTGACCTCCAAGGCCCTGTGTCACCGGCCCCTGCTGGCCTCTCCAGTCCCTTCCCCCACACTCTGCCCTCATTCTTTGAGCTCCCGCCTCACTGCCATCTTCCGCTCTTTGAACATCGCGCGTGGCCTCCATCTCAGGGGTTTTGCAAATGCCCTTCCTCCCGTCTGAGAACCCTTGCCTCCTCCCCATCTCATTCATTCTGCTTGTTCTTCAGGTCTCAGCTGAAACGCCACCTCCTCAGGAGCCTTCCCTGACCTTCCCACGCTAGGCAGATACTAGTTGCCCCCCAAACCTGTACCTGCCTCTTGGTGGGGGACGCAGTGGACTACATTACCGGCCTCCCTGGGCGCGGCCGAGTGCTAGCTAATGGGATGGGAGCCATGGCCAGGCCTCGCCATGACAGCTGGGATCCCACACGTGATGGTCCACCTTCTTTCCTCTTCTGAGGTGACCTAGGGTGTGAGCACGGTGCACTGCCAGTTGGAGGACCCTGAATTTGATCACCGAGGGCTCTTGGAGTTCGGCAAGAGAGAATCCAGAAATCCTGTCCTGTGGAGCAGGTCAGCCCAGACACCTGGTGAAGTCTCCTGAACCTCTGCAGACACAGGGGACGCTGGAACCAGCTGGGCTGTGGCCCTGTGCCCTACAGCGAGTTTATCACTGGATTTTGGAATCTGGGGAACAGATCCATATTCCCGCAACATTTCGCTCATGCTTGTGAGTGAGGCTAGCCCTCTTCACAGCTCGTTTTCCAGCCCGCAGAGGCCGATCTACTGATCTGTCCCCCGGGCACTCTGGTAGAATGTCCGTGTACTGTGTGCTCAGAGGGTGTCGTATTTTCTCCTTAGAGCTTAAATCCCTGTGATAGAGCAAGAAATGACTTGGTGGGCACTCTGTGGCTTTTTTGGAATAGTAATTAATAACATTTATAAAATTGTCTTGTTTTTCTGCTGAGTGCAGGATGCCAGAGGGCTCGCCACATTATTGAGGAGAGTAGTGGCTATTTGTCTTTCTGGGGTTCCAGATTTCTCTGAGAATCTGATGAAAGCCATGGCCATATTCCCAGAGAGAGTGTGTGTGCATGTGCACAAGGACACACACACACACACACACATACACACACAGAGACACACAGATACACACACACAGACATACACCAATACACACAGACACACACAGAGAGGTGTACAGTGGACACAGACACACAGAGACACAGAGAGACGTACAGTGGACACAGACACACAGAGACACAGAGAGACGTACAGTGGACACAGAAACACAGAGACACACAGAGACACACACAGATACATAAACACACACAGCACACACACAGAGACACGCACCAATACACACAGACACACAGAGACACACAGCAGATGCAGACACATAGACATGAGACACACAGATACACACACAGCAGATGCAGACAGACACAGAGACACAGCAGACACATGGAGTAGACACGCAGACTTCCAGTGGACACAGACATTCACAGAGACACACACAGATATACACACACAGATACATAAACACACACAGTGATACACACCAATACACACAGACACACACACAGCAGACACACAGACACACAGACACACAGCAGACACACAGACAGACACGGTAGACACAGAGAGACACACAGACACACAGCAGACATAGAGAGACACACAGACACACACAGACCACACACACTGCATTGTGCATAATTTTGAGGTGTCCCAGATTCCCTGGGGCTCCCGGGACCACGGCTCCCAGACGAAAGCCCCGCACAGAGGAACATCTCTTGATTCATAATGCGAGTCAGAGGAGAAATGGGATTGAAACAGAGGACTTGTACTTTCTGGCAGCTCGCTGAGGGACATGTCTGTCCCTAATCCTGGGGGCCTCTGTCTCTCTACGGGCCTGTCTCAGCCTCGCTGCTCTGCTTCTCAGAAGCTTCCTGGAGCTCCTTCTTCACTTTCTTCTCTCAACACAGCTGCGGAATTTCTTAAGCCTTTTTTTCCAAGTCTGGATTCTGGTTACCTTTTTCCCCACAGGCATGGTCTTTGAGGCATAAGAGAAAGGAACGATATTTTGGTTCATTTCCTGTTTATTATTAAAGTGATTTCACAGATGTTTAATTACATGCATAGGTGGGAACATGATGGAGAGAACATAACTCAGTATTGCAGGCGACTAAAAGACAACTGTGGTTACACTGATGTTTGTCACTTTTGTGGGTGGAGGTCTCATCAAGGCGCCTGGACAGTACAGTGAGGGGGCGTGGCCCCCGCCCTAGGAGGGCATGCCCAGGTCCCCTGTCCAGGGCAGCAGGCTCATGGGTCTGATCTCAGTGGACTAAGAAGTTCCCTGCGGATCTACGGGGCCCCTCACCGGCAAAGATGACACCACGCCTCAGTCAGCTTTCTCTTTTTTCTACTCTTCACGGTGCCGCCTGCTGCCTGACGGTTGTATGTAACATGTCTGCGCTGGAGCCTGCAAAGGGGCTGATGGGAGGGGGCGCATTCGACACTGACGCGGTATGAGTGCAGAGCCCTGTGGTAAAGCAGCATCCGAGTGCTCGGTGGCTTCAGGTGGCAGGGCAGTTTCAACAGTGGGTACTTTGCTCCCCAGTGGAGAGGACAAGGCACAGCCTGCCCTTTCTCTGTTTTTAGTGCTTACCGAGGAGGGAGGGACCGTGTCACGGGAGCCAACAGCCGCCCCCACTCCCTTTACCCTTCCTTTCCCCACCCTAGACTCCTCAGCGCTGCCAGGGACAACCGGGCTGTTTTCCAATCTGTAAAACCAGTCATCAACATTTTACAGAGACACTGCCTGCACCGGAATTAGGTAGGCTTGGGTTTGATTCAAGGAGCCCTGGTAGTGCAGTGGTTAAGCGCTCAGCTGCTAACCTAAAGGTTGACGGTTTGAACCCACCAGCTGCTCCCTGGGAGAAAGATGTGGCAGTCTGCTTTTGTAAAGATTACAGACTTGGAAACCCTCGGGGACAGTTCCACTCTGTCCTACAGGGTTGCTATGAGTCGGAATTAACGTGATGGCAATGGGTGACGGATTTGATTCTAACTCTGTGAATCGCTGACCTTGCCTGGGGCACGTCACTTGGCTTCCAGGAGTCCCCATGTCCACATCTGGAAACCGGGATCATCCCCCTTGCAGGGGTGGGGAGAAATTTACATGTATGCAAGAGGATGAGGCACTGCATGGGGCAAGCTTTCCACCTTCACTTTTTCCTGTTGAGACTTGGGGAGTACCACCGTCTTGTGTGGGGGGCTGTCTGGCAGCCTCTGGGCCCCCGGTGTCTGGGCTGTCAGTGCAGGCCTGGGAGGTGGCAAGGTGCCACGTGTAGGCCAGCCCGAGGAGCCAGGCAGGATGGAGAGCGAGCTCCTGTTGGCCAGGGCTCAGGGCCCCTTCCTGGATGGACTAGCAGTCTGAGGGTACTGAGTGGGCAGAGGTGGCCAAGGGAGACGAGTTGGCGCATGCACGGTGGCATCTTGTCACACGCGTCACGTCCCCTGCTTGTGGCGGGAACAGCGCCGGCTCAGCCAGTCGCCCTGGTCACAGCCTGGCTGCCTGATGGGCATCTTTGGTGAAGGAAAGGGGCCTTGATACAAGATGCACTTTACCAGGTTGAACAAATTTTCCAGCCATGGAGTTAGAGGTAAGAAGAGGTAAAAATCCCCCCTTAGTGCGCGCCACTGTGCACCAGATTGGTGAGGGCGGAGGCCACGGTCCTGGGTGTGGTGGTGGGCTGGCAGCAGGCTCCAGGGCAGCAGTCCTGGCTGGAGCCACCTGCCCGTGTGCCCCTCTCTGTGCTGGGAGCCAGGCAGTCAGTCCTGTGAGCCTGGGCTGTCTGCACCTTCTCCTTCTGGATGCTCTGTCTCTCCTACCTGCCGCCCGAGGGTCTGGGCTGTCCTCCCCACCCAAACTCCAGAGATGGGACCAGAGGGAGAGTCCCTTCTTCTCAAAGCCCCCCGCCCCGGCAGTAGAGATGCGGGGCTCTGCGTGCCCCCCTAGGCCAGCCTGTCTCCTCGATCTCTTTGACCAATGGCGTCCCTCCACCCCTGGCTGCGCTCACTCACGGGGTGGGTCCGTGGCAGAGCACTGGTTCCTTTGCCCTTCTTGGAGTCTTGCACACAGTAGGTGGCCAATAAATGTTTGCTAAATGCTCCAATTTATTTCAGTGTTTTATTTTTCTGCTGGGGGTGGTGGTGGGGCTGGAATAAGTATTCAATCTCCAAAATGCGGATGAAGCCCCTACTATAGCTTCAGTTCCCTCCAACAGATGGGACCTCCTGCCCTGAGAATCCGCCTGGGACTGGGACCTTGGGCCGCTCCCCTCAGAAGGGGCACCCGTGGGGAGTAGGGGAGTGCTTGGGCGGGGACCATCTTGTGAGAGGCGGGAGAGGGCCTCTCTCCAGGCCTTCGCGTCCGGCCTCCTTTGTCGTCTGGGGGCTTTCGGGCTGGTTTCAGTTCTACCTCATCTGCGTGTCTCAAACTAACAGGTGGCTGGAGGGAAAAGGGCCGGGCTGCCACCTCGGGCCAGCATGTCCCTAACCCTAACCTCGAGGTGGTGGTCGGGGGAGCCAGAGTTGAGGGAAGACGTGCTCCCCACCACTGGCCAATGAGGCCTGTCTTGGGGTGAGGGGTGCAGAGGCGGGGAGCTAAAGCGTGACTTGGCTGTTTTAGAAACCAGGGGGAGGACAAAGGTCGACCACTACAGCCGCAGACTCTAAGAAGAAAGCCAATACTGGCCCCTGATGAGGTGGCTCCCCCCTTCCTAACTCCCACCGATACTGAGGGCCTGGCTGTGGACCAGCCCTCGCACTGGATCCTTCTCCTTTCCTCACGGAGTTTGTGCGAAGGTGCAAATGAGGAGGCTGAGTGCTGGAGGCGGCCGTGGTCCCCTCTTCCCGCTTCCATCCGATCCCCTCCTGTGAGCTCAGGGGCCGCCTCCGTTTCCCCTCTGCAGGCTCTCCAGCTGGCCCAGCAGCGCCATGCTCATCAGGACCTCAGGACCATGGCTCCCATCAGTCCTGGCCAGCTGGCCAAGCTTTTGCCTCCAGAAGCTCGTTCCTCTGCTCCTCTCCTCGGGAAGTGCGTGCGATGTGGCTGCTGGGGAGGGAGGGTCAACGCCAGGAAGAGGGCAGACCCCCCGGGCAGGGGTCCAGGCATGGGGGCACACTCAGCTCCCCACGTCCCGCTTCTCCCTCAGACAGCTACGGGAGCCTCCTGTGCTCTAGGCATCCTTCCTTTCCCAGATTTCCCGGATTCTCCAGCTCGGCACGGCGTTTCGATGTGCCTTGAGGATCCTCGGTGGCCATGCCACGTCTGTCCTGTCGCCGCCCACTTCTCCGTCTCCTCCTTGAGCAGGTGGAGTGGCCACCCTTGTGGCGATCAAGCGGCCACTGGCCTCAGTGTGGAAACGTAGAGAAGCGGGCCTGTGGTCCCGGGGGTTGGCGTGTGGGGTCCCCCAAGCCCTCCCGTGTGGAGCCAATGCGGAGATTCTGAAGGAGGGACCCCACCTGGACTTCAGTGGCCTGGGAGGCGGTTTTGCCAGGAGGGCTGGAAGGTGACTGCTTGAGCAGCTGGCGAGTTTGGGTGTCTGGCTACCTGGCACTCCTGAGGGTGCACCCCTGAGGGTGTCCTGCATGGGACGAGAGCTACAAAGGGCTTGGCAGCGGGAGGAGGGTGAGGGGTCGCGCACCTGTCCTGCCCTCTGCATCCCTGAGCTCCTTCTGTGTGACGTGGGGGAGGTGGGTCCCCTTCGGTGGGGCCTGTGGATTAGGGGTAAGTGGGTGGCAACCACCAGAAAAACCACCTGGAGAATAGCAGAAGGGGCTCTGGAGAAGGCTCCTTTCTGCTCCTCTGTTTTCTTTATTGTTGTAAAAAATATAGACACCACAAGATTTGCCAATTCAACATTTTTCACATGTACAATTCAGTGAGACCATTATCCACTCTGGTGTTTGAAAGGATGAAAATAAACGCCTTAAGCCAGCCCTGGCCAGTGTCCCTTCCCCTGCCCCTTCCCGGGGAAGCTGAAGCTGGGGGCTCGTTCTGGGGGGCGCTTGTCTCACTTCTGGGGGTGGCCGATGGCTTGGCAAAGAGAAGGATCTTGCTGGGAACAGAGGCTGGCCTGCATGCACTGTGACAGTGGGGTCATTAGTTGGTGCTGACTGACCCCCGAGTGCAGAGGCTCCCTGGCTGGGGGTGGGCTTGAGCAAGGGAGGCGGCTGAAGATCCGAGCTGGGGACTCAGTGGTTCCTGAGCCCCAAGACCTTTTCTGGATAGTAAAACATGTCATCACCGGCCTTGTCACCGAGCCCTGAATCTGCAGAGGCCTCAGGCCTGCCCTCAGCCTTCACCAGCCTTGGAGAACCACCGAGGTTTCCCAGACTGTGGTCACTTCCGACTGGTCAGGCCGGGCCTGGAGGTGAGGGGGGAAACAACCCAGAACAACCTGAAGTGAGGGACTGGCGTTCATTAACATTCTCCCATGTTCCCTGGGGTTTTCAGTATCTGTTCACCTCACAAAGACGGACCACTTTCTACGCATGTCCCAGAGCATGTCCACGCAGTCTGGTCGCCAGGTGAGGCCTCAGGACCCAGAAAGACCCGACGCCCTGGCACGGGGAGGTCGCAGCTAACTCCGTCCCAGGCGCGGGGTCTGGCTGAGTGCAGCTCAGTCACATCCTTGGACTTCTCTTCTGAAGGAGAAAAAGTGCCTCTGTGATGGCAGCAGCGTGGTGTAGCAGAAAGAAGACTCCTGACAATGGGTCCTGGCTCTGCTTCGGTGAGCTGCCGGGTCACCCTGGGCCAGCCGCCTGCCCTCTGGGCCTCCATTTTCCTCCTCTAGAAAGCACACGAGTGGGCGGTTGCTTGTTAAGGCTCCTTGTGGTCACACAACCTTGGCTCCTGTAAGAAAGGCCTGGCTTCTTGGTAACACGCAGGCACAACAGGGATTTCGAGTTCCCGCTCAGGGCCAGAACATAGGGCCCCTTCCGCAGACTGTTGCTTGGCCCCCACATGCCCTTGGGAGGGGCCCAAGGGGAAGCTGCCTCATCCCAGGTCCCATCTGAGGCCCAGGCCGGGCCCACACTCTCACCACGCCTCGGAGCCTCATCTCCAGAGACCCTGCAGTCAAGAGCATCCGAGGGCGGCCTGTGGGTGCCCCAGTCCCGCAGGTTCCGTCTCACCAATCACAGGGGGCCAGCGTGTGGAGAAGCAGTTTAATTGCCTAGGGCGGCCACAAGAGGTGTGATTCTCAATGGCTTGTGGGAGAAGAGGTGAGGTCACGGTATTTACAGTTACTAAAGATACTTTTCCTAAGGTATCCACAAATAGAAGTATATATATCTTTATATTTATATATATAGTGTACTTAATTAGATGCTCTATCAAGGGAAAACAAACACCTACAGCTTCCTCCCCTAGCGGCTGTTTCTGTCCATCACAGGACGCTTCAGAGCCACACAGCACAGCGTCTGTGTCCTGTGCCCGTGGCCGGGGGAGTCCGTGGGTGCGGAGGCCCCCATGTGCACCAACACCCACGGGTGCCTGTGGACACAGGCGCTCCTGGGGCCGGCTCCTGTCGTGTTTGGGATGCCGGCCCAGCCTTCCGGCCTCCAGGGGCGAGGTCAGCCATGCACCTCTCGCTCCTCTGCCTTCTGCAGCACAGGCAAAGGGCAAGTGCACTCCTGGTCCCAGGTGTGCGCTGCCCAGGCCCCTGCCCACAAGGGCGCCCTCTAGTGGTGGCTTGGGAGAGCGCACTCCTGGTTCCCAGTGAAATGAACAGGTGGAGGAAGGGTGGGAGGGAGGAAGACGTTTTTAAGTAGTGTCCCCCCACCCCACTCCAGGTGATGGGTCTGAGGAGTGAAGCCCGCTAGTGCCTCGCCTGGGCTGGTTTCAGCCCTCTGCTGGCTGGTCAGCTTTCCTGGAGGGCAGACGTCTTGGCTATTTCCCAAGGAAGCTTGGAGGTGCCTCCTGGGCCATGGCACCACCTTCAGCTTCTACCGTGGGGGAAGGAAACTCGGGCAGCGGGCCCTCCCCCCTGGGTGCACCCTGGCCATCCCCACGCAGGGCAGCGAGCGAGTTATTTGTAGGGCCGCAGGAACCGGGACACTTTGGAACGGAGCAGTTTGATGAAGGACCGAGGGAACATCTCCTTGGACTCCTGGGCCGTGTACTTGAAGTAGTTCTGGGGGTGCGCCAGCACATCAAAGAGGGCCTTGATCAGCTTCTTGTCCTGTGAGACACGGTGAGGCACTGCCTTTAACGTCCGGGGCCCTGGAGGTGCCTGGGGGTGTCTGCAAGGCTGCTAAGAGGCTGCGCAGTCTTCTCCCAGGTCTGCCTTCCCCTCTCCCATCACCACCCTCCTTCCCTCGTTTTTCTGGGAGGCGGGTTACGTGGATACCCTTCCAGTAAAGAAACTCACCTTCAAAATTTCCTGGTGATTCTCTGAGGCGTATAACCGTCCGTCACGAACAATGTCTTCTATCAGTTGCTGGTAATCCTCTGGGAAGAAAGGAAAGTGAGGCTGGAGACTCCGCCCGCTGCCTGCTCACCTGTAGCCTCTGCCCCTCCCCTGCTACAGCCTCAGGGTCAGGCTTAGGCCCTGTGCAGCCCTGTGCAGCTCTGCAGTTCCCTCCACTCACGTGTCTGCCTTGCAGTTTGGCTACCTAGAAAACTCCTATTCAACCTTCAAAACCCTGTGTGGGCAGTACCTTGTGCTGAAACCTGCAGACATCACCAATCGCTCCCTCATCTGTCCACTCCGTACCCCTTGCCCTTACAAGCCTCATCTGTATCTGGCCCCCCAGAGTGCTGTGTCTAGGCCTGTGGCCCCGACAGGCTGGAGCTCCCTGAGGGGAGGGCTGGGCGCATGGTGTGGCTGTGATGAGACCATCCTGCCTTACCGTCGTAGGTGACGTAGGGCACTTGGAACCCTTTGCCACTGTTGCCTTCGTTGGATTTGAACTGGATCCAGAGCTTTCGGGAGCGGGAGGTGAAGGCGATGGGCCTCTCGTATGTCTGGCAGGTCTCGTAGGTGGTGATAGACGTCGGGGAGGCTGTGGGATGCCATGCCAGCTAAGCCGCCTGTGGATACACAGCTCCCCACCTGGCCCCTACCCTCCTGCTGCAGGCCACTCTCTCTCCCCCTGGTTGGCCGCACGGCTGCCTCACGAGATAAGGTTCCCCAGCGCTCCAAGCTCTTGTGTCTCTGAGTTTGTTCCCTTTGCCTCAAATGTCTTTTCTACCTTCTCCTGACCAGTTCCTACTCATCCCTCTGAGAGCCGTTTCTGTGCCCCCTCCTCCAGGGAGCCTCCCTGACTGCTCCACACTGTTCCACCCTGCTCTGGTGAAGCCCCTGTCACAGTCCCTCTCTGTCAGGTTGTCACTCTCTCCTTCCAGCTGCTCGAGTTCGGGGGTGGGGGCTCATTTCCTGCAGCCAGCACAGAGCTGGGGCCAGACGGAGGCTCAGGGAAGGCATGGGACATGAGCCAGCCCAGACATGCTGGGAAGGCCTTGGGTGGCCCGCCTCCCCTCCTGTGAGTGGAGAACAGGGTAAGTCCCCTGACCCTGGGGTGCCTGGGGCTGATCAAAGGTGCCCTGCCTCCTCCCTGTTCCCTGGGCGGCCTTCCTGAGGCACAGCCTGGGCAGGAGGTGGCCTTCTCCAGGAGTGGGGCTGGTGATGGGAACAGGCGGGGGGGATGCAGGGATTCGAACCAGTTCATTCTGGTTTAAACTTCTGCTGAGAATTTGCATTTTTACCCCAGATACACTGAATCAGAAGCTTGACAAGATCCCCAGGTGGTTCTTATGTATGATACATTTTGAGAACTCATGCTCTACTAGTGGTTCTCAGAACTAGTCCCTAACCAGCAGCATTAGCATTGCCTAGGAATTTGTTAGAAATGCACATTCTCAGCAGGGGTTCCAACCCTGGGAGGGTTGTTCTGGGCTGCTCTGACCTGCTGTGTGACTTTGGGCAGGAGCTTGCCCTCTCTGGTCTGTCCTCCCACTTGCACATTGGGCTTTCCAGCTCATGGGCAATACTGAGGTCACACCCAACATGGCGAGAAGGCTGCCCCCACCGGGTACCAGGCTCTGAGATCCATCCCGAGACGAGCACTGTGACTGCGTATGTGCGTGCGTGCGCGCGTCTGTGTGTGTGTGTGTGCGTGTGCGTGTGCGTGTGCGTGTGCGTGTGCGTGTGCGTGTGTGTGTGTGTGTGTGTGTGTGTGTGCACACGCACGCTCCCTGACTTCTTCCCTTGACACTGACTTGGACTCTAGGGCTCCAGGAGGGGAAGGGACTAGCAGAAACGTGGAGTCTGGGACAGTCTGACCCTGGGGCGTCTGGTGAGTGCATGGGTGGGCTGCGCCCTTGCGCCCCCAAAGCTCGGGGGAGGGGAGGAGGCCCTGTGGGCCGGGGTGGCTCCTGGGGCTCACTCTGCAGATGGGGGTCAGGGAGCGGTGGGAGGGGCTCTGCAGCTGGTAGGACAACCAGGATGAGGCTGGCTGTGGCCCGTCGAGCCCTGACGGGGTGCTTGACCCCACACTTTGGGCGCCTCTGAGCTTTGAGGACCTTTCCTGCAGAACTCGGAGAGGCCCAGCTTTCTGGAGTCACGCACAGTAAGCCCTGCGTCACCTGGTGTGGTGACTCACCCTCTCTGAGCTCGGTGGACAGCCAGGGAGGGGTGGGAGGAGGTGCGGCCCAGCGGTGGACTTGTAGAAGGCCGAGGCCATGCCTGTCTCTGTCCCCCGCTGCCCGCGCCCTGACACGTACCGCTCTTCCTCATGACCAGCACGTCGCCGCACTCATCCTCGATGGGCAGGAAGATCTCGGGGACCACGATGAGGATCCTGCGCTTGGGGGGCGGTGCGATGTGCCACACACACTCAGCATTGGCCGGGTAGTCACCAGGGTAGTTGGGGGACTCGATGTAGCCCGTGTAGTCGCCAAGCTCGCCCCCGCAGTGCTGGTCTGTGGGCAGTGGGGCCCAGGGCTGGTCAGGGCAGGGCGGGCAGGCCCTCTCGCGCTCTCCTGGGCCCTTCTCCGCCTGGACCTCCTGTCTGGGCCCTGAGAGGCCCGACAGGGGATGCCAGCCAAGTCCAAGCCCACCTCCCTCTGGCCCCTCAGTGGAAGCACAGGTCCCCATTCGTGCTGCTCGCTCTCTGGGCACCTCCTTCTCACTGGGCGTCTCTGGTGTCCTGCCTGGCCGAGGCCCACCCTACCGTCTGCGGCCGAGCCTTGCCCAGGCATCCTGCCTGGGTCCCCCAGCCTCTGGCAGGCCCTCTCGCTGCCACTGGGGGCTGTCTGTCCTTGCCTGCCCCTCACCTGAACTCGGGTCTCCGCCAAGTCTCGAGTGGGAAAACCCAAGTGAACCCCACTCTCCCTTTCTCCCGGTTTTTTCCTCTGTCCACTCAGTTACTCAACATCTTCTGGAACCCACCAGCTGTCAGGCAGGCCCCTCCCCGCCACGAGAGGCAGGAAGACAGGGCGAAAAGCAACAAGCCAGTGACACGGTGAGAAAAGGGTGAGGAAAACAATCGTTTTCTTCTCGTCACTGTTTAAAGTGAGCTCGCCTCCCTGGGGAGGCCAGGCGTGGTGCTTTTACAACTATTAGGAGCCCTAGTGGCTCAGTGGTTAAGAGCTACAGCGAGCTACAGCTGCTAACCAAAAGGTCGGCAGTTTGAATCCACCAGCCGCTCCTTAGAAACCCAATAGGGGCAGTTCTACTCTGTCCTATAGGGTCGCTATGAGTCGGAATCCACCCAACGGCAACGGGTTAGTCTTAAGCTTACAAATGAAATCTCAGTTCTGCAAAGGGAATTGAATGTAAGTACTGAATGTATGTAATTTTCTCCCAAGTCTTCACTTTAAAATCCTCTTCTCACTTCAAAATTCCTGGGAAATATTTCACTTCTGCTTTTAGCGTTCTAACAGCTTTCCTCCCATCTGGCTTCCCATTTCTGCTCCTTGTTGTTAGGTGCCGTTGAGTTGATTCGAACTCATAGTGACCCCATATGACAGTGTAGAACTGCCCCATAGGGTTTTCAAGGCTGTAATCTTTATGGGAGCAGATTGCCAGGTCTTTCTTCCACAGAGCTACTGGGGAGATTTGAACTGCTAATCTTTCAGTAAGCAGCCGAGCACTTAACTGCTGCAACACCAGGGCTCCTTTTTAGAACACTGAAAACCCTGTGTCAGCGGAGCTCCACTGCTGGGTTTGCTCTTCTGCCCCAGGAACACACAGGAAGGAAGGGCAGGTGCCCAGCCCGGGACAGCCCTGGGTACAGGGGACTGACTCCCAGCTCCTGGATTAAGTTCTTTTCATTAAGTCCAGACTGTTCCAAGTATTAGCAGCAATCCATGAAAGGGATAACTGAGTGGCTGAAAATTAATTGTTGTTGTTGTTGTTAGGTGCTGTCGAGTAGGTTCCCACTCATAGCAACCCCACCTACAACAGAACGAAACACTGCCCAGTCCTGCGCCATCCTCACAATCGTTGTTATGCTTGAGCCCATTGTTGTAGCCACTGTGTCAGTCCATCTTGCTGAGGGTCTTTCTCTTTTCTACTGACCCTCTGCTTTACCAAGCATGATGTCCTTCTCCAGGGACTGGTCTCTCCTGATAACATGTCCAAAGTATGTGAGCTGAAGTCTTGCCATCCTTGCTTCTAAGGAGCACTTTGGCTGTATTTCTTCTAAGACAGACTTGTTTCTTCTTCTGGCAGTACATGGTATAGTTAATACTCTTTGCCAGTGCCGTAATTCAAAGGCATCAATTCTTCTTCAGTCTTCCTTACTCATTGTCTAGCTTTCACATGCATGTGAAGCAATTGAAAATATCATGGCTTGGCTCAGGTGCACCTTAGTCTTCAAAGTGACACCTTTGCTTTTTAACACTTTAAAGAAGTCTTTTGCAGCAGATCTGCCCAATGCAATGTGTCATTTGATTTCCTGACTGCTGCTTCCGTGGGCATTGATTGTGGATCCAAGTAAAGTGAAATCCTTGACAACGTCAGTCTTTTCTCCATTTATCGTGATGTTGCTTATTGGTGCAGTTGTGAGGATTTTTGTTTCTGGATGTTGAGGTGTAATCCACACTGAAGGCTGTGGGCTTTGATCTTCATCAGTAAGTGCTTCATGTCCTCTTTACTTTCAGCAAGCAAGGTTGTGTCATCTGCATAATGCAGGTTGTTAATGAGTCTTCCTCCAATCCTGATGCCACATTCTTCTTCATATGCTCCACTTCTCAGAGATTATTTGCTCAGCATATAGACTGAATAAGTATAATGAAAGGATGCAACCCTGACACACACTTTCTTGATTTTAAACCATGCAGTATCCCCTTGTTCTGTCTGAATGACTACCTCTTGGTCTATGCACAGGTTCTGTGTGAGCACAATTAAGTGTTCTGGAATTCCAATTCTTTGCAACGTTATCCATGATTTGTTATGATCCACACAGTCAAATGCCTTTGCATAGTCAACAGAACAGAAAGTATGCCCCAAAGAACTTTGAAAAATGAACGAAAAATACTTAAAGTAAGCACAGCGAACAATGTCCCCTTCGGTATGCCCAACTGCTACCCAAGGAACTGGGGATACTCTCTCCTTTGTTGTCCAGGTTCCCTTTGGCCAAGCTACGCTGCTCAGAGTCAGCCTCGCTTCCCCGTCGCCGCCACACCTGAACACACGCACCGGATGTCTCTCAGGCGATCTAGATTGGCGTCCTGTGCCCACTGCGTGCACCTGCGTGAGCCCACACCTGGCGCTCAGCGGCCTCACCCCGGCCTCCGCTCCCCACCCCCCGCAGGAGTCCAGAGCAGACCTGGCCTGGCCGAGAGGCTCAGTGGTGTCAGTGTGGGGCTGGGATGGATGGATGGAGTCGTCACTCACAGGAAAGCTGCATCCTCCCAGGGACGAGCCTCAGGCGGCACCGTGCTGTCAGGCTCATGGTGGGTGTGGGGTTCCCGAGGTGTTTGCCCCGGCCCCCTCCCCGCCCCGCCGTGGGCAAGAGCAGCACCTACTTTTGCAGTGTGTGACGTTGGTGGAGCCGTCGAAGTCGGTGCTGGTGTTGCCGGGACAGGCGATGCAGTGGTTCTGGCCAAACTCGGGCTGGTAGGTGCCGACAGGGCAGCGGATGCAGCGGTGGCTGCTGGTGTTGTACTGGTGGCCAGGTGAGCAGTGCACTGTGGGGTGGGGGGGCGGGAAGGGCGGATGCTGGGAACAGGTTGGGGGGAACACCCTCCCCAGGGACTCTCTGCCCCTTGGTCTGCCTTGGCTTGGAGTTCCCGGCCCTTCCCCACTGGTCCGTGACTCCTGCCACTGCCCATCCAACACACAGCCTGTCCCCAGCCCCCTGGCCCCTTCACCTGATATGCGGTGAGTGCCCGCCATGGGACGCAGCAGTGAGACAGACTGACCCGCTACTCAGAGCACCATGTGTGAAGGCGTGTGAGGTGGTGATAAGTGGGGCACAGCCTGTGGTGGGCATGTGGTGAGGCCGTGCGGAGGAGAGTGCTCAGAAGGGCCCGGAGGAGGAGCGAGGGAGCAGGCCCAGGGAGGGAGGAGAACAGAGTGAGGGAGTGGGCCCAGGGAGGGAGGAGAACAGAGCGAGGGAGGGAGGGGGCCCAGGGAGGGAGGAGAACAGAGC